GAGTTCAAGATATGATGAATGGGTTAAACGGTATATTATTTATTTATCTATTTATTTATTTTTTTATTTTATTTTATTTATTTTTATTTATACACGAAATATCGCATAATAATATTTATATTTGTATTTATATATATATATATATATATTTATTTAGTGATGATTTAAGAATTCAACAACATTTAACATTATCTAAACAAGGTGACCTCACATCCTGTCTCGGCAGCCCGAAACCCTAAAAGGCCTGAATCCGAAAACCCCAATTAGGGTTTAGGGTTTAGGGTTTAGGGTTTAGGGTTCAGGGTTTAGGGTTTAGGGTTTAGGGTTTAGGGTTTAGGGTTTAGGGAAAACCCCAGAGCCCTAAAACCAGGAGCCTCAGCAGCCAAAATGGCCCAGCAAGCCGAATACCCTTTTATCAGGACATGTCTCTTTACATGCAAAGAGAAACGCTGTCACGTCTCCTGAAACACCTGCATGTATGTGTATAGAACGTGTACATGTATGTATCTGTATATCGGTCTAAATGTACACGTGTAGGTATATGCATGCACTTCATGTGTATGTGTGTCCATATCTATGCATCCAGTTTCTCCGGGTATGTATACATGTGCGGCTAAGCCCTTCAAAAAACCTTAAAGCCTAAAGCCTAAACCCTAAACCCTAAACCCTAAACCCTAAACCCTAACCGGGGTCTCAGGGCTCTCTGGGAGGTGCCGGCGCGCCATGGCTGTCCTTCGCCATGCAGGGCGCCTGGCTGGTTCGGAGCCCAGCTGCCGCGGGTTTAGGGTTTAGGGTTTAGGGTTTAGGGTTTAGGGTTTAGGGTTTAGGGTTTAGGGTTTAGGGTTTAGGGTTTAGGGTTTAGGGTTTAGGGTTTAGGGTTTAGGGTTTAATTGGGGAACACGGCTTTATACCCTGCGCTAAGAGAACTGCATGTAGGCCCAAAGGCCAGCACGTTAATTTCCCTAAGCTGCAAAGCAGAAACCCAACCCTAAACCCTGAAGAGCCCTAAACCCACATGCCTAATCCTGAACCCTAAACAACAGCCCTGAGCCGTAAACATCCCTCAGCACAGACCCCGATACACTTAAGGCGCAAGCGTGTGTGTGGTTGCTCTCAGCCCGCACACTTGAGGCCCAAAACTGTCGTGCTCCAAGCCCAATAGGGCTTTGGGGGTTTAGGAGTTGAGGGTTTTGTTGCAGTCTAGGGGTTTAGTTTATGTGCTTTTGTATATATCCGACCACCCCCCCTCCCCCACCCGCCCCCCCCCCCCCCCCCCCCCCCAAAAAAAAAAAAAAAAAAAAGAAAAAAGAGGTCATCAAGCTTAGACCCGACCTATAACCTGAAACCCTAGAAGATTGTAATTTCTGTATTCAGGTAGGTCGGGCAAATCCTGCAAAACAGCAAATTAGGCTATAACTCCCTGAAGGAATTAGCATACTTACCCCCCTCCCCCTCGCCCCGCCCCCAGTAAAAAAACACAAGGCAGCTGTATCCCCCCAGACAAGCCCCCAAACCCTAAGCCCGTTTGCGGAGGCGGCCCTACACCCCCTAAACCCTAAAGCGTCAAAACTTTAAACCCCTAAACCCTAACCCCTTAAACCGGAAGCCCTTAAACAAACCCAAAACCCTATACCTTAGGCCTAAACCCTAACCCTCACCCTAAACCCTAAACCTTGAACCCTAAACCCTACACCCTAAACCCTCCTTCAGCCAGCCGCCCTCCCAAAATTTTCGAGGATGGCAGCTTCCGCACCCTGGAGCCGTCGCTGCGGGAGCCTGGGCGAGGGGGCGGTGGAGGTTCAGGGTTTAGGGTTTAGGGTTTAGGGTTTAGGGTTTAGGGTTTAGGGTTTAGGGTTTAGGGTTTAGTGGGTAAGGGTGTCCTCAACCCTAAACCCGAAACCCCGAACCCTGAACCCCAAGCCCTAAACCCCAAACTCTAACCCTCAACCCAGGTCTATTGTGCCGTGCGTTTATATTCTAGTGACGGGACGCCAACGCGGGCGGGCTGGGACGCGTGTTGGTTTGAGAACAACCTGGGATGTTTCACGGGTGGCTCAGCCCAAGCCTTCACAGCTGCCAACATCAAATCACCCTAAACCCTAAACCTTAAACCCTAAACCCTAAACCCTAAACCCTAAACCCTAAACCGCAGAATCAGGGCATCTGCTGCAGGCCAGTGATGTGCCTGCGCCGAGAGCGGCAGAGGCTCCGCCACCATCACTTGCAGCTGATAGACCAACCATTCCCACAGGTGCGGCCATAGTGGCTGTCCCCTCTGGGAACACCATACACACTCCCGTTCTCCGGGTAGGCGGCACATATGAATTGGGATGCTCTTATCCTGATGTGCCCGCAGCAGTGATGGTGGCTGGAGGCTGGCCCCTCATGCTTGCTACGATTTTCGCGCGGGTTTAGCCCATTAGGGACTCAGCAGGTGGAAGGGAGTCAGGTCTACAGCGCCATGCGTTTATAGGGAGTTTAGGGCTTAGGTTTCGCAAGAAGATGAGATTGTCATGTAATAAGTGTGTAGGCTTCCGGAATCTGTGGTTCAATATGATGAAGACTGAGTCGCCTCACCCCTAAAGTCCTTGAAGCGTCCGTTTAGATTGGGAGTTCGTGGCAGACAGAGTTTCGAAAAGTTTTGACCCTAACCCCAAATGCGAAAGCCCAGACCCTGTCCTAGAAATTGAACTTGCGCCCTGTAAACCCTAAACCCTAAACCTTGTCCCCCAAACCCCGAATTCCTAAGCACTAAGTCCTACCCAAACCCTAAACCCTAAACCCGAAACCATAAGCCCTAAACCCTGAACCTAGCTGTGTTGGTGAGGACGGCTGCGTGGCACTGCGCGGCGTAGGAGACGAAGTGCTTTGCTCCCGGTCTCCTGGCCACTACTAACGGTAACATAGGGGCGCGGTTTGGGGTTAAGGGTTAAGGTTTTAGGGTTTTGGGGTTCAGGGTTTAGGGTTTCGAAGGGGCTTTAGGTTTTAGGGATTTAAAGTTTAGAATAGGCATTTTGGCCAGTAATGTGCCTAGGCAGTACGTCTTATATAAGGGGATGATATTTAGGTAGTTGTATAGGCTCCCGTATTCGAGTACAGGGGGTAGGGGTTGAAACCCTGAACCCTTAACCCGAAACCCTAAACCCTAAACCTTAAACCTTATTTGGACTGTAAAGGGCCAGGGGTATAGGCTTGGAGCACCAGGCCTTAGACCCAAAGCCCGAAAGCCTACGTAGTTATCAGTAGCTCCTGAAATAATCCCTAGACCACTTAGCTCCTAAACCCCAAACTGAAGACCCTAAACCCTAAACCCTAAACCCTAAACCCTAAACCCTAAACCCTAAATCCTAAACCCTAAACCCTAAACCCTAAACCCTAAACCCTAAACCCTAAACCCTAAACCCTAAACCCTAAACCCTAAACCCTAAACCCTAACTGAAGACCCTAAACCGAGGTGGAGCTTAGAGTATCAGGATTTCGGGTCTCCAACTTGAAGCCCCAGCTTTTTACTGAGGGTTTAGGGTTTCGCGTTTAGGTTTTCGGGTTTCGGGTAACGTTTTGGGGTTTGGGCTTAGGGTAACGGTTTAGGGTTTTGGCAAACCCTGCACGCCCTGAACCCTCACAAGCCCCGACCTCAGCCCTGAACCCTAAACCCTAAACCCTAAGCCCTAAGCCCTAAGGGGCTTGTAAGTGCAGTTGTAGTTGGGGTTATATCCCTAAATCCTTCACCCTAAACTCTAAGCCTTAAACCCTGATACAGTTATAATTGGGGGAATTGGGATTCTAGCCCTAAACCCTAAACCCCAAACCCTAGCCCTAAACCCTAAACTCTAAACCCTAAACCCTAAACCCTAAACCTCCAAGTACCCCCTTGTCCCTCCCCCCCAACCCCCGCCACAAGGTTTGGGCAGCGCTGGCAGCGCGCCAGCGGCGTGGCCGCCGATCCCGATCACGGAGGCCTTTGGAGGGGATTTTTTGGGTTTAGGGTTTGGGGTTTAGGGTTTAGGTTTAGGGTTTAGGGTTTAGGGTTTAGGGTTTAGGGAGATGTTGGGAGATGTTGGGAGATGTTGGGGGATGTTGGGGGATATTGGGGGACATTAGGGGATATTGGGGGGGGATTCAGGGTTTCAGGGTTTTTGTGCTTCTTGGTGTTTTTAGTTATAATTATTTGGGTTTTAGACCTTTGGTGGCCGTTGGAGGGGGAAGTGGGGGGGTGGGGCTCAGGATTTAAGGTTTTAGGGCTTTAGGGGTTTAGTGCTTTAGAGCTTTAGGGTTTTAATGGTTTCAGGGTTTTGGGGTTTCAGGGATTGTGTTAGGGTTTTTGGAAGTTCCATTTGGAAGGTTTTGGGGTTTAAGGGTCTTTAGGGCATTGGGGTTTAGGGTTTAGGGTTTAGAGTTTAGGGTTTAGGGTTTAGGGTTTAGGGTTTAGGGTTCAGGGCTTGAGGCCTTTGCAGGCCCCGAAGGCCGAAGCAACGAACCCTAAGAGCCCCCCAAGAGCAGCCCAAAGAGCCCCAAGAATCCTTAAGAACTTTAAGGGCCTTAAGGTTAGGGTTTAGGGTTTAGGGTTTAGGGTTTAGGGTTTAGGGTTTAGGGTTTAGGGTTTAGGGTTTAGGGTTTAGGGTTTAGGGTTTAGGGTTTAGGGTTTAGGGTTTAGGGTTTAGGGCCCTCTTCTTCAGAACCCTATGAAGAGTATGAAACGCCTTAGGTAAGCCCGAGTAAGTTTGTGAACCCTCAGAATCCTGGGGCGCTTTGAACACTACGACTCTTAAAATCCCTCAGAACCACGGGACTCTTAAGACCCCTTGGGCCCCAGACATTTTTAAGTCCGCGAACCCTGTAAGAACCCCAAGAACCCAACAAGTCCCTAAACCCTCAACGCTAATCCCTAAACCTTAACCCTACGGCCCTCAGTGCCCACAGTTCGCTCAGTGACCCTAAACCCTAACCCGAAAACCCTAAACCGAGTGCTCTCAGTGCTTCTGCTACATGCCTTTGTGCAGGATTGGTCGACGCCCCCGTGCGCCTGAACCACGACCCTCAAGCCAGGGCCCCCATTCTGACGGGCGTTTGAAGGGTTGAGGGTTTAGAGCAAAGGGTGTCTAGGTGGTGGGGTTCTACACGGCCTTTAGGCTTTCCGAGTTTTTGAGGTTTTGGGTTTCGGGGCAGACCCGAAGACTTAGGGTTTAGGGTTTAGGGTTTAGGGTTTAGGGTTTAGGGTTTAGGGTTTAGGGTTTTCGGGTACATCTACCTTAGTGGTAAGCCCGCGCGCCTCGGTTACTGAGACCTCAGGCTGAGGCCGGACATAGCTAGGATCCTGCATGTGAAGTCGCTGGCAGCCCAAGCCCGTAACTCCTTGAACTCTTGAGCCTCTTGAGCATGCAGGAAGTGAGGAGCCTCGAGGTGAGCGTCTGAGCACTCGGCCAGCATCGCAACAGCAAGCCTCCTCACCCCAAGGGGTTTTGGAGACTGGGGCAGCGCGGCGAGTTCCCGTGGGCCATGACGTTGCAAGCCACAATCGCTGCTGAACTACTTGGAGGTTCATGGTACTTAGTAGCTAAGAACTGCTGCTTATAGCCCAGTTCTAGCCTCGGCATCTAGACTTAGGGGACTTACAACTGGGCTATAAGTACAGTTATAATTAGTTACTAAGTACCATGAACCTCCAGGCACCGGAGCGGAAGATGCAGGCGGAGCAGCTGGTCCTGTCACCCCAGTATTCGTGCGTCATGGTCCTGACTCCTAAAACCTACAAAGCCCCGAAACTCTAAACCCTAAACCCTGAACCCTAAACCCCGTAACCACTTGCCTTCACTGGGGCAGCTGTCCCGGCGAAAGCTGCCTCAAATGCGGGTTTAGGGGGTTTAGGGTTTAGGGTTTAGGGTTTACGGCTCAGGGGAGTTTAGGGGGTTTGGGGGGTTTGGGGGCTCAGTAGGTGTTTCAGGGATTCACTTGTCATGGATTTGGGGTTCAGGGCTTTGGGCTTCAACTTAGTAGCTGAGTGAGTACACTTTACACTTTCTTGGGATACTATAACCCCCTGTTGTTCTGAAGTGTACACTGCTTGGGGTGTATGAACTCAGGATTTAAGTTGAGTTTTCGGGCAGCGCATCCGTAAGTCGGATTGGCCGAAGCGCTTTCTGTTTTGCGACGGTGGGCTGATGGCTTGCAGCGTTAGCAGGCAGTCCCCGCTGACAGCCTTCTGCCACTTGAGAACAGTACAGCCGCCAGCAACCCTAAACCCTGTACTACCCCTGTACTACCCCTGTACTCCTACTGTACTCCTACTTTTGGCGGCCATGACTTCCGTACCTGCCGTGCCCTTGCGAGCTGCAGACGGTGGGACGCTGCAGGCCTGGCACTCGACTGTGTGTGTTTTGCTGCGCTTTTCCTTATGGGTGTATAGGTGGGTCCCGTTGAGAAGTTTTACGTTTAGGGGGTTGAAGCCATCGTGCTTAGATGTTCATGGGGTTGTACGTACGGCGTACACAGTTTCAGTGTTTTGCGGGGTTGCCTTTGAATTAGAACTTGCATGGTGGTCATCCACTGTGTGGGTTCATGGTCGGGTGGATGGCACTAGTTTCCTCTACATTGGGGGCTGAACCGCATGTTAAGGGCTCAGGTTAGGGTTTAAGGTTTAGGGCTGATAATAGGGTTTCAGGATTCGGGAGCCCGTTAGCCCACACACAAGGGTTTCCTTCAGCTACAGCGAGCTGAAGCCCTGTCTACTGGCTTTGGTATGGAAGCGACTCTCTACTTGTGGATTGCTGGGACCACGTCTTCCCTCAACCCTGAACCATCAACAGATGTAGGTTGGGATGTTCCCCCGTATACTAACAGTCCTTAAGAGGGATCCTAGTGGCCCCCTTGTTATAATCCCCTCGGACCCAGAGTAGGCACTTATTTCCTTTCTTTAAGGGTTCAGATTCCCTTACCATCTCCTTTGAAGCCAAAAAGGCACCCTTTCCATTCCTAGGCTACTCCTGGGTCCAGTCCTTAATAAGGGTTCTTAGTACCCCCTTCTTATAGTCCCTATTAGGACTTTTCGTACAAGACCCTAAACCCTAAACCCTAAACCCTAAACCCTACACCCTAAACCCTAAACCCTAAACCCTAAACCCTTAACCCTTAACCCTTAACCCTTAACCCTAAACCCTAAACCCTAAACCCTAAACCAGGGGAGCATCCCAACATGCAGGGCCCAAGCTATGGTGTTCAGGGGCAGCCGGGATGGCAACAATGAGCCCCGAACCCTGAATCCTAAACCCTACAGGCTTCTAGGTAGGCCCTTGGGACATGTCACATTTTCCCCTTATTGGGTTTAAGATTAGGGTTTAGGGTTTGGGGGTTTGGGGTTTAGGGTTAAAGGGTTTAGGGTTTAGGGTTTAGGCATTAGGGACCCTAGCCCGAAATCCTAAACCCTAAGCTCTAAACCCTAAACCCTAAACCCTATACCCTAAACCCTAAACCCTAAACCCTGGTTCCTTCAAACGTCCTCGCACGCCTGCAGATGCCTGCCTTGGGCTACGGCGTCGGCACGGCCTGGTACAAGTCGGATGGTGAGAAAGCCAAGGACTCTTCGGGTTGAGGGTTTAGGGTTTAGGGTTTCGGGTTGAGGGTTTAGGGTTTAGGGTTAGGACTCTTACGGTTCTTGGAGGGCATGGGGCTTGGGGATTCTTCGGGCGAGTGCGGGGTCTGGGGCTTCCCCCTAAGCCCTAGGCCCGACTCCCGAAACCCAAGAAAGCTTTAGGGTTTAGGGTGCGAGGCCTAGTGCTTAAGGTTCAGGGTTCCCTAAACCCTGCCCCTAAGCCCTCAACCCTCAACCCTCAACCCTATACCCTAAACCCGAAACCCGAAACCCGAATCCCGAAACCCTAAGCCCCAACTACGAGGCCACTGCTCGACAGGAGCTCATCTCCTCGGTACAGGCGGCCCTCGACGTCGGGTTCCGGCACATTGACGACGCGGAAATGTACCGGAGCCCTTTCCTCAAACGAGAGGTTTAGGGTTTAGGGTTTAGGGTTGAAAACCCTAAACCCTAAACCCTAAACCCTAATCCCTAATCCCTAATCCCTAAACCCTAAACCCTAAACCCTACCAACAAAAGCCCGAAAGCCTTCCACATGAGTCAGCGTCACAGAGCCCTAAACCCTAAACCCTAAACCCTAAACCCTAAACCCTAAACCCTAAACCCTAAACCCTAAACCCTATAAAGCATCTCTGGGCCTTGCACGTTATCACATGCTCCCAGTCCAGCACATGGGCTTCCAGACTGAAGACTTCCGGGGTTTGGGGTTTAGGGTTTAGGGTTTAGGGTTCAGGGTTGATGGTTGAGGGGTCGAGGGGTCGAGGGGTCGAGGGGTCGAGGGGTCGAGGGGTTGAGGGGTTGAGGGGTTGAGGGGTTGAGGGGTTGAGGGGCTGAGGGGTTGAGGGGTTGAGGGGTTGAGGGTTGAGGGGTTGAGGGGTTGAGGGGTTGAGGGGTTGAGGGGTTGAGGGGTTGAGGGGTTGAGGGGTTGAGGGGTTGAGGGGTTGAGGGGTTGAGGGTTGAGGGGTTCATCAAATTAAACCCTCATCCCTCAACCCACGTTGCCTGCTGATCTGTCTAGAGCCACAGAGCGTACCTCAAATTCAAAACCGCACCTTGTCTCCAGACCATACGTTGCGGTTACATGAGTGGTTGAGGGCTAGGGTTCTGGGTTCAGGTTTTTAGGATTCAGTTTTTTAGGATCCAGGTTTTAGGATTCAGGTTTTTAGGGCTTAGGGAATATACGGTTTACCGGGCCTATAGCGCTCTTCAAGAGCGTTTCTCAAGATACTTCCCCCGCAGCGAACACCCACATGACAGGAGGGGGGATTGGTACTTGGTGCAGGTCGACCCTGCGAACCCTGACCCTAAACCCTAAACCCTAAACCCTAAACCCTAAACCCTAAACCCTAAACCCTAAACCCTAAACCCTAAACCCTAATCAACCCCTTTAGGGCAGTTAAGGGCCCTCTGAAAAAACTCCCCTCGAGGAATGAGCTTGTTGTTGGCCAAGCAATTGGCGACTGGCTTGGCCGAACTGGCGCGAAGCGGGAGGACGCTTTGTGGTGGGGGGGCGCTCGCGTGGAACCCTTTAATCTAAGCCCTAAACTTTAGACCCTGAGACCCTACCTTAACCTTAAGAACCCAAAAACATTGTTGTAGGTTACCCAAGAATCCTATGAGGGGATGATAAGAACCTACAAAAAGCCCTAAACCCTAGCCCTAAACCCTAAACCCTAAACCCTAAACCCTAAACCCTAAACCCTAAACCCTAAACCCTAAACCCTAAACCCTAAACCCTAAACCCAGGTAGGTTTGGGTTCGCGAGGTCGACCCTGAGCCCGAAACCCGAGACCCGACTACTACTCTTGAGCAGAGTGAGGTTTGAGGGCAACTTCTACACCAGACCCATCCATAACCCTTTGAACCCTTCAACCCTTGACCGGGTTTAGGGTTTAGGGTTTAGAGTTTATGGTTTAGGTTTTAGGGTTTATGGGCTTCAGGACATTTATGTTGAGGGTTTGAGGGGTTGACGTGTTGGGGCGTTTGGCGCTTGAGGGTTTAATGGTTTGAGGCTTAGGGGATCTCAGGGGTTGTTAGGGGAGAGCCTTATGGAGTTAGGGGTTCAAGGCTTGAATTCGGGCTTTGGGCGCTGCGGTATTTGCGGCGTGGAGATCTTCGAAAAGACCTGCAGCCTAACGCCTTCTGCGTGAGGATTTGTTCATCACGAACAAGGTCTACGAGGCCGGGTATGCCCAAAATCGCACCCGTGGCCATATAAGCTGTGTTGCCATAAACCACCCTATTTTTAGTCAGTGTTGAATATTGAAGGTTTGATGGCATAGAAGCCTAGTAACCCCCTACCTCCGCCAATTGTCCGAATAGCTAGGATGCCCAGTTTTGTTGGGGGAGCTCCTAGTAGCCGCAAGAACCATACCAAGGCTAAGTCCCTGAAACCTGAACCCTGAATCCCGGAACCCTGACTGCTTACCCCGAAACCCTGAACCCTGAACCCTAAA